GATCGACGACACGTTCTCGACCACGAAGCACACGTTGAAGTACAACGCGTTCCGCTCATACTTGTTGCCCTCGATTGCGATCGGATAGCCCATGATCTTCAGCTCAGGCAGGTTGATCTTGACCAGTTTGTTGAGCAGCTCTGGTTTGGTGATGATGAACGACGACACGCTGTCGAAGACTTCCTTGCTGATGATCTCTTTGTCGGCAGGCACTTGGTAGACGATTTTTGGCCCGACCTTGGCATCAAATTCCGCATAAAATATACAGATCAGAGGAGGAATCTTGACCACTGGAGATGCCATCTCGTTCTGCATTATGATCGTCTATCAGTCATATTAACTTGTAGCTTTTCAGTCCAAAACGGCAGTTCTTCCACAGCAGATATCGACAACTAATGTAGCCAATGAAAACTCCTAGCAGTGAGCCCACCACGCAGGTGATTGGCCACCTCTAAATACAGCTAAGCTGTTAGATCATTAACTGGCAACTGCATCCTAGTAACAACTGTACAAACAAAATAAAGCGAAAAACATAACATGAATCACGCTTTCGAAGCGTACAGAAATTTTCGACAAGGTATTAGTTAGCAACTGCTGCAAAAGCTCTAATGCAGATATGCAATTTAAGACCACAGATTACATAAGGGTACTCCTTGTCGAATCCCACCTTCAACAAACACCTGTGACAGGTGATTACAGAAATCAATTCGCAAAGCAAAAGCTTACAGATGCCTGCTGACACCATTTTGGGTGCAGAATCCATTGTCCTTTGCATTCCCCGGTTCACTCTTGACTTTCCTGTGGCAGCATGCTGTTCCCCAATCTAGTAAAGGAGTCTCCACGCGAAACATATACATTTACGCTTAATTAAATCATGCAGACGATTAAAAAACTGAGGTTCACACTAGCATCGTGGCTTCCCACATTATCAAACATTCGACAATAAATGACGATTTTCAGAGAGAAATGAATTCGCAGGCTGTCCTTAAAATACTGCTCTACAGCCGACTGAAGGAGCTATCACGCTCACGGCTGAAATTCAAAAAACCTTTCTGTACTATTCTGCGGGGCAAAAACATATCCAACGCCGACGAGAACCGAGAAACGATACGAAACGCCACAATCGTTCTAAACAAAAAACTCGTCCCTGTGAAACTAGTTTTGACCTGCAATGGAAAATACGGTTTATGGCCTAACGCTTAATGGTAGGACATAGCAGATGTACGTATATGAGCAAATCAGTGTGGAATGGAAAAGCCAAACAAGTAACTACTTTAAATTCGAATCTCCGTTCTACGAAGTAACGGTATTGCATGATGGCACTGCAGAAATATGCAAGGCATCTCGGAAGCTACCCTCCAGTGATTTTCCAACTTAAACGCTGAACTTACATGACGCGCTCCAAACTGCTAAACTGCCATGTCAAGAGAATAGGACCACTCGTGACATTCTTATTTTGTTGCACAAGACAAATAACCAGAGAAAGGATGAGGTCAAACTACTTGTTTTCACCTGAAAAACAGATATGGTAAAATTGTAAACTATTAAACAATCATAACTAATCTACGGATATAAAACTGTGTGTACAATTGCAGCGCCAATTTCTTTGGTAACACTTAGTCTTGAGAGCTAATTAACTGCTTGTTAAAGCAGCAACCACTGATGTTATCTGTTTTGCTCACAGTGAGTTTTGCTCAATGTTTGCCATTGCCCTATAACCATCGAACCACCGTAAGCCGTTTGAACAAGAGGACAATGATGAACATGAGCTACCTGAAATAAAATCGGGATAACGCATATTATTGTTTATAAAAATGTTTAATCGCCGCAGGAGTAAGTTAACGAATGACCCCTCCAAGACCAGATTTCACAGCACACTGCATCGCCCCTCCGCTCCTAAGCGGGCCACGGTATATGATGTTAGCTACTAATACTGTCTTTTGGAAATACCTAGTAGCTATATCACATTAAAGATAGGATAAAAACTCCGCCATGGCCGGTCCCAAGCCCGGATGAGAAAGGAGGAGGGTTGGAGACCGTGGCAAGT